TTTGCCAAAGGAGCTGGAGAGAAAGAGTGGCCTCTTTGTGGATTTCTACATGTCTTAGGTGAAGATTGAGTGGCTGTGCCCCACCTATATTGTGAGGACATTTTTAGCAGTCCCCTTAGGTGGGTGGATTCACTCATGAGGCACAGCTTTATTAACAGTGTACATTGTGATATTAACAGCCTCTGACTTCCGGAATAGAACACTTCAGAAAATGGGTGACTCTTGCTATTAGAATTGGGAATGGCCATATCATTTATTGGTCCATTTAATCCCCTTTGACTCACATGCGAACTCTGAACTAAGTCCATCCTTCAAAATGGAGACATTAACTGAGAGTGAGACCCCTAAATTAGGAAGCCCATCGAAGTGTAGGTCCTTGCCTGCTGGCTGGAAAGAATTCACTGCTGAGGCAGAGGGACAGAGCAAAACTGCTTTTATTTCTCAAAAGAGGAAAAGGAAAGAAAGTGCTCGAACTAGGAAGAGGCACTGGAGTGGGGAGCCATCAGCCAAGCTGACTGGCAGAGAGGGCTCTGGCCTGGGTGGGCCACATGGGCTTTTGTGGGAGACTTCTACCACCGTGTCCTCCTTCCGGGTATGATGGGGCCGGTCAGTCCTTGTTTAAGCTTTTCAGTCTTTGTGTGGGCTTTTCCTGTTGTCTTCACGGCAATTGTCAACTGTCATGGCCCTGGTGGGTGTCACTTAGCAGCTAATACATTACAATGAGCATATAATGAGGCTCAAGTTCCACTGGAAGTGAAATCCTCCACCATCTTGGACTGGGCGGATTCTGTCGACTGAGATAAATGCACAACCTAAAAGTTGAGAGTTACGTTGTATTCGGTGGACAATTTTGAGGACTCAGCCAAGGATGACAGCCTGTCAGATGGCTCTGAGGGACTGCTCCAAAGAGGTAGGGGAGGAGCTGGGATATATAGGAGTTTTGCAACAAAGACCAGGTAGTTGGAATATTAAAAGATTATTTGTTAACTAAAGAAGAACAGGCATCTCAAGTTAAAGAATTCAGTGCTTTTCTATGTATGGGAGGAAGCAAACACTTGGGCTCATTGAATTCATTCCTTTGACAAGCACCTAGCTACCTAGGGCCGGTATCCTGTCCTTTCTTATTCTGAGTCCCCTCA